CCCTACAACGTTAGTGGTGTGTTTCCAACGTCTTCTCGCCGTTCAGCCCTGTGTAGACAGGCAGTGCAGTGGACATGCAAAACACATGGTAACCGAGAGAGAAGCTTTCCGAGGACTGATAACCACATGAAAGCTTCCTGTATGTGTTCTTACGCTCTGTGACTTTTTAGCAGAGACAAATGCAGACTGTCCGGCCTGAAAGCACAGCCTGCTATAAACGGAAGGGGATAGAAATGTCCCCTTTCTGTCCTGAAAGGAGACTCCGGTACCGTCGCCGATCGTGACGTTTACTGCAGGTACCGAGCTTGCACACTGACATAAGAGAACTGAATTTAGGCATTGATGGGAAAGTGCATCCTTGCAACGGATCCCCAGAACTCTGGATCTTATACCGGTGCGGGGGGGGTTGTGTGGTTTTTCCAAGCATGTCTAAACTGCGTATGTGAGTGTGACGGTCTACAGATTTTATTAGCCTATATATGTTTTGGATTCTTTCATATTTCTTTACCTCCTCTACCAAAATCATAGGTTTGCTCTTTTTATATGGAGTCTGGATCTTTGGTCTTGCAACAGCGTTCGGAACTGTTGTTGTTGTTTTGGCTAATAGAGCAAAGCTGAAAAGTAGCGCGAGACTGGCGGTGAACGGCTCCATCCCGAGCCACGAGCAGAATCACAGGAAGAGATACTATTTAGTACAAAATACAAAGCTCTGAGATGTCGCTTTACACCCAAATCTGAAGTTGTTTAGCTGCCACAATAGGGTGCTTTGGCGTAATTAGAAACTTCCTGTATGACGTGAAATGAAATTCTGGCGAGTTCAGTGTGATTTTATGGGGAGGTATCAGCAGCTTTGCGTTCTCTGACCAGACGTGGTTCTGTGGAAGGCCAGCTGTCTGGGGAACCCGAGCAGTGGCGGCGATCAAGCCCCGCTTTTGAATTGGGTTAGCTGTACCTGAAGGTATCGGCCCAGAAAACACAGCAGCACTTCATGAGCTCAGAGTTGGTGATTGCAGCGGCAGCCTTGCCGATCCAGCTGCATCTTCAAAGCTGAAAGAAGGAAATGGGGGATGGCGGCACCACCTTAGTAGCTGACCCCGGTCTCGTGTAAAGAACAAGAGGGTCTCCAAGCAGCATGCGGCTGGTCATTAGCTGTTCTCCTTTTGGCCATCAGCAAAAGAGGTCGTAGGGGAAAATCCTTCATTAACTCCGCCAACTCCCCACATACAGACAAGAAATCAGATTAAAAATGAATAAAACCTTGGGCAATTCTCTGCAAGGCAGGCAGGGACAAGCAGTGCAGGCCAAGCCACTGTTCCCACTGCAAAGAAAACAAAAACACAGGTGCTGCATGTACTGAAGCTGTGCAGATGAGCCCCGTGTGCAGTATGCGCTCTTTACAAGAAGAAAAAACATCGCTCTTGTTCTTTGGCTATTGTTCGCTCGAGGCATGTTTTATTTCAGCTCAACTCCGAGCAGAGTCATTATAGATCCCACAGCAGAAGTTCTCTGTGATGAGAGAAACATGTGATCTCCGGGCCCTAGAGAAGGAATTATGCTGGGAAGGCACCTCCAGCGGGAAGGCTGGTGCTGGCCACCTGAGCAAACACCCGGTCTGGCGAGCGTAAAAAGGCAGGCGCAATGGGCATATGCAATGGCTGTGCACGGGGGCGGGTTTGTACGGGTTTGTCACCGTGAAGCCTGCCTAGCGAAAGGCTGTTTTCTGTACACATCTCTAGGACTGAGAGCAAGGAGATTCAGAGAGAGCGAGCGCCGCTTTGTCCCCACCGAAAGGGGAGAGCCGGCTCCGCGTCTCGCAGTTTGTGTAGCGCGGTCCCACTGGCCGATGTGCTGTGTGGTGTCCTCCCGCGCTGACGGTGAACTTCACGGTGTGGAACGTGGGCGTGCGTGCATGGACGGGGTGCAGGGTAACGGTACGGCTTAGGACAGGCGAGTCGCTCA